TAGGATATAAATACATGTTTTGCTTTATTAGTTCGTCAGTTGATACATAAAGGAAATGACGTCAATGTACAAAACGGACGTCTACGTTAATAGACGCATCATTTGGCGCTAAACAGAAACGTTATAATATTACAATAAGATAAAACGTCTTTTACTGTTTTATACAATAAAACATGTGCATATGTATGTATAAACGTAATTATTATACATAGCATATATAATTTTCGAAAAGAATTACAATGTACATAAAATAACTGGATCACAAGATACATATATTTTCATAGAGAAATTAGACTAGTAAATAATTACAACAAGTATGAAAATAACAGTCATTTATGTGAAAGTTTAAAATTTCATAAAAAACTTGCTTCAGTCACATGTTGAAATTGTAAAAAGGGAGATAATAATTTTGAAACATCGGATGAATACTTACCGTCCGTCAATTTTGTTTTCTGCGCCGACATGTATATAATGGTACAGCTGCCGATGCTTGAACTGCTGTCTGCCCATTTAATTGTACGGTGTGATGTAGGGGCCATAGAACTACCCATAGCGATACCTAAAATTTGTAAATAATTTTCATTATTAAATTTTTAGGTGTCAATTTTAGGAGAGTGCATGTTTCCTCCATTGATAATTTACTACCAAATTTGTCATTGCTAAGGAAGTATTTACAAGCAGCTATCCCATCTTCATGTGGGATATTTGTATACAGTGAAGTTACATCCAAAGTACTGAATCTTTTGAAAGTTTAGGTAAAGATTTTAATTTACGCAAAACATGAGGTATCTTTCACAAACGACGGTAATGATTTCATATATTGTTGTAATATAAAGTCAAGATATTTTTAATTATTATCTGTATAACTATTGCATGCAGAAACAATTGGTCTGCCTGGATATCCTATGGGTAGACTTTCATTATAATCTTTATGAATTTTGGGCAAGATATAAAATTTGGGCGTTCTTATGTTGTCTGGAAAAATGTCAAATTCGCTTGTTATAGTATTGTTTATTTCATACAGTTTTGAATATAAAATTGTATTTCCTGTGACGGGTTATTGTCTAATTAAGAGTGATATTTATTGTTATTCAATTGGAGTTCCACTTCATGAATAATTATAGTCAATTTTGTTCATTATAACTATCATATTTGATTTATCTGCTTTTTTAATAATGATAGTTTCATATTGGGAAAGTGAACGTAGTGAATGCAAGTCTTCTCTGAAAATATTTGTGCGGTATAGTTTCTTGTGATAACTTTTAAGAATTTCTTGTGTAATAGCTTCTATATAAAAGTCTATAAAAGCTTCTATATAAAATGTATTTCCTTTCGAAGTCAGTTGTAAGTTATTGTTTGTACAGAAGACCGCCAGAGATTCGGAAAGTCCCGCGACAGAAACGACATTAGGTTGCATGATTAATCAATGAGGAGACAAGTAACTTCTAAAATGCACCCTGTTACAAATTACGAAAGACCGCCAGGGACATTTCAATTTCATAAATTCCCGATTTTATCTTCAGGAATTCCCGATTTCAACTTCACGAATTCACGATTTCAACTTCACGAATCACGAGTTCAAATTCATGAATTCACTATTTCAACTTCACGAATTCAACTTCATGAATTCACGATTTCAACTTCATGAATTCACGATTTCATTTTCATGAATTCACGGTTTCATCTTCATGAATTTACGATTTCAACTTCACGAATTAACGATTTAAACTTCATGAAGTTTAAATCGTGAATTCGCAAAGTAAAGTTGATATCGTGAATTCGTGAAGTTAAATATCAAGAATTTTTGAGCTTGAAATCGTGAATTCATGAAGTTTAAATCGTGAATTCGTAAAATTGAAATCGCGAATTCAAAAAGATGAAACCGTGAATTCCGCATATTGAAAACGGGAATTCACGAAGTTAGATTTGTGTATTCATGAAGTTGCAAAGGTCCTACCGTTCTTTCGTATATCTCTGGACCGGTAGGGCCATTTCAACTTGAATTCCCGAATTCATCTTCATGAATTTAAAATTTTCACTCCGTTTTCAACATACGGAATTCACGATTACAATTTTAAGAATTCACGATTTTAACTTCACAGTTTAAAACTCATGAATTTACGAATTCAACTTCGTTAATTAACGATATGAAGTTCACGACCAGTTGCAATTGTCAATTCGCGAAGTTGAAATCGTTGATTCGTGAAATTGGAAGTTGTTTGTGTGAGACCGGACCTTAGTTTATACAAAGTGTTTGATAAAACAGCTCATATACTGAAGGAGATCCAATATTTTATGGCAAGCTTATAATTTTTTGCATAGACTAGTGCATATCCCAAAGAAATTGGTACAGAAATAAAATACTTACGGCCATTTTCTTTTTCGAATCCAGCAATATTTGTCTTGGAATTGATGCCGAAAATGACGTCTTGGTCACGTGGTATTGCTACACTGAATTCACTAAGTTGAAATTGAGAATTCGTGCAGATGATATCGTTATTCATGAAGTTGAAATCGTGACATTTAAATCGGGATTTTATAAGGATGAAATCGGGAATTCAAGAAGTTGAAATGTCCCCATCGGTCTTTCGTACATTTGCGCTGTTATGTATCAGTCTATAAATATCAAAGCTATGTCCATCGAACAGTTTGACATTGACAAATATAATAATAATAAAAATAATTTAAAGGTCAACTATGGATGTTTCAGATTTTATCATGATGTTGTTTTGTCAAATATGAATCATATATGTTCATAAAACAAGGTGAAGGCCAACTATTAAAAAACAAACTAGAAAGGTTATTTTGGCAGGTACAATAAATACAAGTTTAGTATTGCGATAAGTTGCGTGTTGAAGGAAATTTATTACAGTATCAAATTACGAAAAACATCCGGCCTATGATTATCTCGGTCGGAGTCTAGTAAAGGTGATAAACATCACGCGGTTAAAGGAAGTTCATCTTATATTTTGCATTTCATGTTTTCTTTTACACCGTAAATTCATCTACAATACATTTTCACTGGATTGTTTTTCTATTTTGATGTTGTTTTATTTTTCAATAGCTTTAAAGTGATCGTGACCTCCCAGTGGAATTATATATAATATTTACAGAGGCCCAATATATGAAACAGTCAGGTGTAGACCTGTTGAAAAGCTAAAGTAGCAAATTTTATCTTAAGTGTAGCACTTTTAATCAGCTGAATTCCTCCGAGTACTTTTCATTGTCAGACCTGTTTATAAAGCAGCATCTTGTGAAATATTTTTTCAAATTTTGTTTTTCAGCTTGAAATAGTCCATTGTTTCCATGTATATGTTAGTATTCATCCGTGCTATTCTACAGAAATAAGAAACTTCGTCGGGAGCGATAGAGACAGGAGAATGTTTCTAATTTCTGTAGAACAGCTATGGATGAATACTTACATACTTAATGTCAAGCTTTATTTGGCCGCGTTACTATTCACTTTATTACGTACGTCACTATGCGGTTCTATGAAGGACTATGAAAAATAGAATAGAGAAAAAAAGAATCCCTAAAGAAAGCTCAACATAGCAAAATTGTAAAATGTTGCAGGTTCGGTTTGATTGAGCTTGTTCATGAACGGTACTGGAAAGTGCAAGTTACCGTCCATGCCCCCTAGCACCGGCTTAAGCAGAATTCAACATTAAAACACAAATTGTAAAATGTTCAGGCTCGGTTTGATTGTGCCTGGTCATGGACGGTACTGGAAAGTGCAAGTTGCCCCCTAGAAGACGACTATGAACGGAATGCGATATAGTATCGACTTTTGTTCTTCTATGAAAATTAACGCACATATTTTTTTTTAGAAATACAGCGTTTCCATTGGTTGACAAATAAAGTTGAACACTAAAAGAGTCGATTTTCTAATAAATAAAATAATAAAATATTGCAACATGCGCGTTAGTGGGTATAGAAAGATCAGAACGAAAACTTTAGTGTTAGCCAACAGTTCATGTAACTCGAAAGCGAGTCCGGTGACACCAATTATCTTATCTTATCGCTGAAAATATTTCTGTTTTCATATTCTAAGATAACGAAAAATTGATAGCTATCTGTATTTTATGTATTATTTTTATTCGTTCATTTGTACCTGTATATTGTTGCCCTATACATATGCTAAAGTTGTACCCTAAAACTTATTACGGATGTAGCCTAGTCCTATAAATATGACGTCGCTTTGAGATATTTTTGCCTCTGGGTAAAGCAACGTCATATCGAAATTGTTCAAAACCCATAGCACGTTCCGCCAGAAAATCAGGCGGAATGAAAAAACAATTAAGACAGCGTTAATTTACATTAATTTTGACCTATTTATGAACAAAACTAAAAAATAAATACCTTTTGACAAAATAATTAAGTTGTCACATCCAAAATCATGATTAAATTCTTTCATGTATTTAAATTCCTTATACAGCCGATAAACAAATGGCCGCCATATAGTGCGCGAAATCTGATTAGCTTATCCAAATGAAAGCGTTTAATTGCGTCATAACAGTCTAACGGAATATTTTTTAACGAAATAATTGTCCATGCACCGTCAGCGTATTCGAATATGTTTTTATGTTCAAAAATTCTGAATCAATATGCATAGCACCTTACTTAACCAGTATGACCGATAGACAGAAATATATTAAATGGCTATCCGGGAAGTTTCATTGTCATAACTATTAAATGAGATCGCGCCTGTAAGTGAAAAAACATGGTGAAACTGATTACATAATACAAAAAAAAAACAATAAAACGCGAAATTATCGAATCAGACGTTAACTTTTTCACAAGAATGAAGCTAATGCATCTTTTTCTGCAGAAGCCCTCGGGTTTATTAAATTCTAATTTCAAATTATGTGATTGTGATAGTTAAAATACAGAATTGTCATATCTGTTGTAACAATTTTCCACTTTGTGGAAAATATGACATTGTCTACATAAGGTGAAGTACCTTTAAAAACTCGTTCCCGATTTTACTTACAATAGATTTTTATGAAGTGCGCATGTCAATATTTGGTGCGGATTAAAATGGAGAGGTATGTGGACTATTTAATATGCAGTATATTTAACACGCAATATATTTAATAATTATAAATGTACCTATTCAGTTTATCTTTTACTTCTTTCAGGGGTTATATATTTAATATTTTACAAGCTAAGATATATTCAACATATAAATTCTTCTGAAACAGGGTGAAACAATCAATAATATAAATTATATATATATATATATATATTTCTATTTTCTCCAACTTATAAACAATGGGGAAAGTCGTTCGCCTTTGAAACTTTGTCGATTTGTTCAGATCGAGAATCATATATTTTATTTTGTTCTATTTTCGTTTTTGAAAAAAAAATGAAATTACATCCGAGACGTATATTTTATTGGGGAGGCTATGCCCTGCTAACTGTGGCGGTTAGCAGGCCAAAAAATAGTACCGTGATTTGTGAAGCGGCATCATCACTTACCACCGACATTAACAAGTGTAAACATGTTGTTTTTTTTACTTAAATACCGTATTTGCTATTGTTAAGTTTATATTTCTCAGAAGAACGCTTGGTTTAACAGTTTTCTAAATCGAAAGTCACTACATACGCTTACTGCCGCGGAAAAGTGGTTATATACAGTATCGGTCATAAATAGTTCTGATATATAAATAAAAGCACGGATTTATTATTGTTGTAATATAAATCCGTAACAAAAGATATTAATGTAAAGTACTTTATGAATTTTAATTATAATTATCATTATTTATTTATTTATTTTATTATTTATTTCTTAATTATTTTTATTTATTTATTTATTTTATTTGTTTATTTTTATTTATTTATTTATTTATTTATTTATTTATTTATTTATTTATTTATTATATTTATTTATTTATTTTGTATTTTGAAAAAAAGTAAAATATTCCCAATTACTAGTCTCCGCAGCGACTGGTCCTAAAATATCTTAACAGTTGTTATACAATAGTTGAATGAATTCAAAAAAGAACTCTATTCAGTTTTTTCTCATTATTTCGTCAGAGAACACCGAAAACGAAAGTTAGACAACAGGAAATAAATAATAATACACTGCTAAAGGGACATTTTCAAAAACGATGAGTCACCAAACTGAGATAGAGAAAAGAAAATATCGAAATTGGGTGAGAGGTGGATTGGCATATAAATATTTGAAACAAGGTTTGGAAGGTTTTGCTGATGATGTTGTTAAACAAGATCATAAGAGAATTCTTAGTGCTATAAATTACACACCTGGTATTACCTGTACTAGGTGCATCATTGGAAACCTGAAACCGACACATGCATGCATGATAAATTCTGCAGGTAAAAATGAGTGCTACTGGGGTCAACATAAGTGTAATTGTTTGCGCACAAAGACAGAAAAATGTCGCCTTCATATATGTGATCGCATTATGGAAGAACTATTTAGAAGCCATGGATCAACCCCGCCAACACTAAACTGGGCTAATACTGACATACAAAAATGGTGTACAGAACCGTGGGAGGTCGCCAAATGTTTCATTAATGCACCAGGCTATTCAGACAAGACAAAGGCAGCTGGTATAGACATATCTGGTTTACTCCTTGTCTTCATTAATAACACAAGTCTTCATCCTCATTTAGCATGCTCCATGACTGGAAAAAATGTTTTTGTCAAGGTAAGTCAATATTTGTTGTTCAGGATTTATAACATAAACAATTACATTGTCAGAGTCATTCTAAATATATAATTTAGATAAAAATATAAATTATCGATGTATGAGCTGTAATATTCCATATATACCCCTGGGGGCCGAGAACCAGTAAGTTACACAGTGTATGTATTATACGTGTCACTATTGTTTTAAGAGGCTGATACAGAGTGGCTATGTAGCATAAAACATATATCTACATCATCATATATTGTATGGATACTACATGAGCTTTGAACAAACATACGTTATACCATTATTAAAGATCCTGTATGTTATAACTAGGGCTGTATACCACACTTAAATGAAATTATATTTTTAAATTACAGAATATAATGCTAATAAAACAATTTTCAAACATCGAAAAATATATAAAATATGTACTGCAAATATTTATACATTTTATATGTAATCATTAAAATGCATGCATTCATTTCTTATTGAAAAAATTACTTAGACTTTATAGAAAATAATTTTTTATTCCCTCCCTTAGTTTACATGGAATGTTAAATTCGCTAATATCTTTATAAATAATGCTTTTTGGAAGTTACAAAATCGATAAATCTTAATTTGAGGATCATATTTATGATATAAAACCATAAAAAAAATTGTTACAGGATTTTTAATGTTTGTACATTAAAATAATGAAAACACGGTAATGTTCAAAGACGGCATCGCATGCGTCACCTGAAATTTCCATAAAAAATGCGTGTTTGCCCTTTATAATTTTTGTGTTACTTGCTTCACAATAGCTGTGACACGCTATCAAGTTGCCACGTTTGGGAAAAGTTCTCTGTCAATTTAACCGTCCATCCGTTTGTCCGTCCATCTTTCCTGAAGCAAACTTGTCCAGAATACTTCTAAACAAGAGGGTCATATTGGCCTTTAAATTGCTCACCTCATTATTAAGGCTCTGAATGAAATAACAATGAATAGTGTTTACCATGAATAAAAATGAGATATAATCTCACTATAAAAGTAATATTTTCAGCTCATATCTGGGCTATGTGACCTAGTATTATTACCCAAGATTATCAATATTTGAAATACAACCTTTCTGACCAATTTATAAAAATATTTGAACTGAATAGAAGCCTCTAACGTGTTAACATATTATTATTATTATTATTATTATTATTATTATTATTATTATTATTGGGCTTTGTGACTCAGTTATAACCCCGTGTGACTCATATTCATTCGAAATTGGATTAAGGAATAATAAAAACAATCTTTCTGACCAATATCAGTATACCACATAAGATATTTGGACCGACTACTTTGTTTTCGTATGTCTTACTATCCAGAAACTGATCGTTTTACTTATTATATATCTGCGAAGAACATTTCACTCTTCAGATCTTTCTATGGACTTCTACGAATAAAAGGTGTCAACATAATGTTTTTGTATTTTTAGTGAAGGAAGAAAGCTCATTTTCATTTATATTGGAACCAAATAATTCTTCCAATCTCCTGTGATTTACTAAAACTAAATGTGCAATTTTAACAATTAAAGCAATGTGTTTCCGAAAGCCATAAGATAAAAAAAGATAATTCGCTATTTTATATATGTTTGTTTGTCTAATATTGTGATAAAATGAATAAGTCTCTTGACGAAACTTCTAGGTGCGAGAAAGAAGAAACAAATTGTTTCATTCAGCCACCATGGAAGTTGAAGAATGGGAAATGTTTGAATGTATAGATGATATCGTTGAAATACTTGAAGACCCAAAACAACTCAAAGGAAGACCCGAGGCCCAGCAAGCTGTCAACAAACTCAAACAAGTAAAATTTAATGATGTTGACAAATTTAGTCTTTATATAATTGATGAGATTTTTCTTTAAGACAATAATTCTTAAACAAAAACAAAAATTGCCATTGAAATACTGAAATACGTATCTAGATTTATATTTTAAGGTATTAGCACACTTTTTTTTTCTTTCTTTTTTTCTTTTAACATTATTTATGTATCTCTCATGTCCCATTTGGAAAGAAAAAAGTGTTTAATTTTGATTTTTTAATTTATATAGGTATTTATTGGCTAAATTATGCTAAATCTAGTAATAAATATGGTACCTGATATTTTCAAAGTGTAATATAATCAAAACTAGACGGTAAAAGTATTTCATATTTTACAAGATCAACCAATATACTTTTTTTAAAAAGTTAGGGAAACTTTGAAAACAGGCACTCATTTGGGTAAATTTTAAGAATTTTTTAAATTATGCTCTCTAAGTAGAAAAATGGTCAGACAGGTGGTAAAAGTGGGTGGGGTAGGGTAACATTTTTATACAGATTTCATAAATTTTAAGTAGAAACCATAATTTTGCTTATTTGGATTGTTAGCTGAATGGTACTATTTGTTTCTTACCAAAAATTAATGGGAAAACATTTTTCATTAGAATGTTATTGCAGATTATTCAAAGGTTCCTACTTTCTAAAAAAGGGCCCTCATAACATCCTAGCTTGAGTTCAGAAAAGTGGCCATAACTTGATTTCCGTACGGTAAACTTTGTTTAAATTTTGCATACAGGTGTACTTTAAGGTATACATCTGACTTATGATGTCAATTTTTTAGTTCCTGATATTGCCCATTAGGGTCCTAATACCTTAAGATAAAGATGTTCTTCTTTTATTAGCTTACAAGAACCGAAGGTTCAGGGTGAGCTATTGGTATCAAAGGAGGGTGCTCCGGTGTCTGTCGTCATGCGACAACAATCGTCTTCTTCTCCGAAACTGCTTGGCAGATTTACTTCAAATTTTGTCTGTAGCATCCTTGTGACGGTTACACTTAAATTTGCTCATGTCATTTCAATTGGCCCCTTTTAGGGGTCAACAGAGCTAAAAATAGAAAAACCTTTAAACATCTTCTACTACAGAACTAATTGATGGATGATCACCAAACTTTGTCTGTAGCATTCTTGGGTAGTCTTTTATCAAGTTTGTTCATATTAATTTCATTGGCCACTTTTAGGGGCCGCTAAAGCTAAAAATAGATATACCTTTAAACGTCTATTTCTACAGAACTAATTGATGGATGATCACTTAACTTTGTCTGTGGCATACTTAGGTACTCTTTTATCAAATTTGCTCATTTTAATTTGATAAGCCCCTGAAAGTGGCCACTAAAGCCAAAAATTTAAAATTCTTTGAACATCATTTCCTACTGAAATAATTGATAGATGATCACCAAACTTTGTAGCATTCTTAGGTAGTCTTTTATCAAGTTTGGCTCAGTTTGCTCATATTAATTTGATTGGCCCCGTTTAAATGCCCCAGGTCATGGCATTTCTTCAAATTATTGTTTAAACATATTCTTTGCTCAAATTTAATACAATGGATAATTTCCAACACTGAAAAGCAGTTCTTTCTGGTTAGCGACTCAGGGCCATCATGGCCCTGCCATCATGGCCCTCTTGTCTATATCTGATCATAAAAGGTCTTGCTAAATATGTTAACTCTTAACTGATTTTCGTGTCGCCTCTACGGAGTAGTGGCGACATATAGGGATCACTTCTCCGTCGTCTGTCTGTCCGTCACAAAACTTGTCCAGACTACTCCTCATAAACTACTGGTGCAATTTCATCCAAACTTTACAGGAATGATCAGTACCAAGCCTAGTTGTACATATTGTCAGCATTTACAGGTTCAATGATTATTGTAAGAGTTATGGCCCTTTAATAATTTTTATTTTTAAAGTTTGTCCGGACTTCTTCTCTTATACCACTAATGCAATTATTATTTCAATGAAACTTTACAGGATTGATCTGTAGCTCAAGTCCTTGCACATATTGCACAATTTTCGGGTTGAATGATTTTTGGCCGAGTTATGGCCCTTTGATAAAAAGGTGTTTTTTCTGTGTGTTGCCAGATACACAAAAGCTTGTCCGGACTACTCCTCATAAACTACTGGTGCAATTTTATCCAAACTTTACAGGAATGATCAGTACCAAGTCTAGTTGTGCACTGTCTGTCTGTCTGTCTGTCCGTCTGTCACAAAACTTGTCCCCACTACTCCTCATAAACTACTGGGGCAATTTCATCCTAACTTTACAGGAATTTATGTCGCCACTACTCCGATCACTTCTCCGTCTGTCACAAAACTTGTCCCAACATGAAATTGGCCATCATGAGGCGACACATGTGATCACTGATCGCTCTTGTAAGAAATATAGATTTGTACTATTACAAAATATTGTATAATTCTTATAAAACAGAACTATGATCGATAATTATACAAAAATGATCTCATAAAAAATGTATTCTTATTCTTTTTCATATACAACGATTTAAATAAATTGTGAAAATATGAAAACAAATTTATTAAGAATTTATATAATAACATATCAATCAGCACAGATAAAATTTCCTAACAGTTTTTTCAGCAACTTCTTATCACGGCATCTTGATATTTGGTATACAGCTTTTACACGTGGTTCTATACTGTGGGATTGTCTATCATCCACTTCCTGTAAATTTTTTACATTAATGGTCAATAATAGGAATATTATAAATTGTTCTTATACCATGGAATTTGATTTCAGGTCTGTCCCTCGTCGTCTTCTTGTTTATCAACTTAGTTTAAGTTTTGACATTAATGGTCATTGGTAGAAAGTTTTCCTTTCATCACATCCTCATGATATTTGGTATACGAATGCAACCCAGCCTTTTCTATCTTTGAACCATTTTTGTGTAAAATGAGAAGGAAAACTATTTCAATACTTACGAGTAAAGGGTGTAAATATCTATTTGTTTGTTCAATTATTTCAGAACAGATACATCTAAAAATATTTTCATTTTTTTTAATATATCTATCACTACATTATAGAATTCTATGAATTTACTTCAATATTTTTAGACATATCTATTTATTTAACGAAGAATGGAAACAGTAAATAGGTCCTTATTGATCACTAAAATGTGTTTAAAGCATACTCTGGTAATCATGATAACCATACAAAAGATTGTATATGTAATCATCTAACATTCGCTTGAACAATTATATATAGGGTCAGTGCTATCCTACTCACCTAGGCGTCTACTTCACACTTTTGGTTAAGCTTTCGTACCAATCCAATTATTTCCTTTATCAGTTGAGGTATTGCTTAAAATTTTGTATACTTTCCCTCCTCGAGACATGATGACTTAAGTCTGTCTTGGATTTAAAAAAAAATATTCCCCTTTTTGTACTTGATTCAGTTCAGTTTTTTCAAAAGCTGTTATTCATGGAATGTAAGAACTTATTGTAGCATCGTCTTGTGGTTCGTTACAAAAGTTATATAAAGTTTTAAACATGGCAATGTGATAAAGGACCTTTATTTGGGATCCAAGCTGTTACATTTATTTAACTTAAACAATATCGCTTAAATCTTAGCTTACATATTTGGTTTCAGACGTAACTGCAAAAGGTACATAAATCATTTCCAGGTCTTTGGTAAATATAAAAAGCCACCCCCTCCCTGAATTTACTTAAGTAATGTTATTAACTTATTATAATATATCAAACACTTTGCTCAAGATGATACATTAATAATAATATCAGCCGAAAATATTGAAACAACTACGTATCATACTGATGGGTCTGACTTGCTCTTCACTTGTTATTCTTACTACCTAAATTGTTGTTTTATATGAATGTTTTACCGGTAATGCATTAAATTATGTTGTGGAATCAAAATTGCATGCACTTCTTTTGCCAAAATTTGCAAATCATAGCTAACGTCCCTGAAAGCGGCCCTCTATGACGATAAAATACTATTTTTCTTTTAATATTTGAGTACTATATATTAAATATTTTACATTTCTAATAAAAATAGGTGCATTTTGAGTGGCAGTTATCTATACATATTTGCACACTGTTTTTATATTACTATATAGTTGTTGGAGTTGTGTAGAATATGTGTAAATCTGCAAAAATAATGTCCAACATTGATTTTTGCTAATGATATATTTTTATTCTGACATTTTGCATGTACTGTAAAAGAAACTAGGAAATGAGAAATAATAAATACGTTTTGCATGTAGCTTATTTTCAAGAAAAAGTTCAGGTGCAAAAATACCTGCATACGGCTTGAAATACATAATTTACAGTTATTACAGTACTGTTCTGTGTTAAAGATTATTTCCTTGTTATTTATCATTGCCAGTTAAAGAATAGTGACTTCTTAATCACCACCCACAATGAGGTCGGGGTATGTAGAGAGGCATTAGCATCCGTAAACCTGAAATCAAAAGAAATAGAACAGGCGATTCAAGATGCAAAGAATTTCATGAGTGATGAAAAGAAAGATATTGTAGAGGGATTGCAACAAGTAGCAGACAAACATAAAGAATACGTTAAAGATGTCAGTGATCAGGTAACGGATACAGCTAAGAAGACAATACAAAACAGTCTACATGCAGCTGTCAAAGAATTTGACAAACACAGCGAAATGTTACATGAAAGAGTAAAGAAACTGGAAATAGACGTTTCATCTGTGGAAAAAGTAAAACCCCTTTATAAAATAAATATCACTTAAGACATGTAACACTCTCTCAAATTATAAAAACTAGAGAAGAAAAATACTTTTAGATCTATACAAAAATTTGAAATCTTTTTGTACAAAACAAACCTAAAATATAAATAATTAGTATGAAGTTTAGTGTTCAAAACAAGATCCTTATGAGCGATTGAGCGTAAATTATTTAATTCATTGCCATAGAAACTAAAGAAATGCACTCATATACAACAATGCCTGATTGTTACCGAAGTCTCTGGGTGAGCTATTAGTATCAAAGACGGATGCTCCTGCTTCCGGTGTTCGTCGTCATGCATCAACATTTATATTCTTCTCTTAAACTGCTCGGCGTATTTACTTCAAATTTGTTCTGTAGCATCCTTGTGACAGTCACACTTAAATTTGCTCATATCATTTCAATGGGTCAACAGAGATAAAAATAGAAAAGCCTGAACTGATTGATGGGTGATCTCCAAACTTTGTCTTTAGTTTTCTTAGGTAGTTTTTTAGCTCACCTGTCACAACGTGACATGGTGAGCTTTATGATCGCTTCTTGTCCGGCATCCGTCAGTCCATCTGTCCGTCCTTAAACTTTTACTTTAAATGACATCTCCTCATAAACCACTCAGCCAATTTCAAAAATTGTTCAAAGAATTTAATTCCATACAGAACTCTGGATGCCATGGCAACCGAAAGAAAAAACTTGAAAAATATACTTTAAAAAGACGAAAGAGCTAGAGATTAAATATTTGGCATGAAACATTGTCTAGTCAGTGTGTACCAAGTTTATACAAATAAAAGCCCTGGGGTCAAAATTGGCCCCGCCCCGGGTGGTCAATGATTTTCCTTATTTGTATATTGTAAAAACTTAAAAAAAAATCTCCTTTAAAAAATCCAAATAGCTAGAGTTTAGATATTAAGCATGAAATATCTTCTAGTGCGTTTCTACCAAGTCTGTTCAAATAAAAGCCCAGGTGTAAAAATTGGCCCTAAGAGCTAGAGCTAAGATATTTAGCGTGAGATATCTTCTAATAGTTGTATACGAGTTTTCTTATATGAGTATAATTGGCCCCGCCCCGGGCTTATATACAGGTGAGCGTCTTCAGGGCCATCATGGCCCTCTTGTTTATCAAATTTGCTCATGCTCATATTAATTTGATTGGCCCCTTTTAGTGGTCTCTATAGAACTAAAAATAGAAAAATCTTTAAACATCTTTTTCTAAACTAATTGATCACCAAACTTTGTAGAATTTTGAGTTCATTTGAAAAATTATAACAAAATTGATAACAGCAGCATATAATATATTAAATCTGTTTCTGTACAGTTCTGCTTCAGTCATGCTTTACGGACAATGAGAGGGCCAAAATACCTGTTTAAAGCGTCTCTCTAACACTTTATTTTACTAAGTATTTGATTTGAACTAGCATTGCATTGAACTTATAGCATTTAAATATATTGTTGCATTTTAGACAATATCCCTTAAAATCGTCAAAACAGAAATATTTTGCGTTGCCTGTTTGGTAATTTCTTTTTTTTAAGAGCATAATATTTCAAATATATCGTTTGAAAGTTAAAAAACAAACAAAAGGTTTATTTTATGTTTTAGCGTGTAACATCATTAGAAGGCACAGTTGGAGAATTAGACTGTATACGACAGATGTTCAAGAAACGTTTAGATTACGTCGAAGAGAAAAAAGGTATACACATTTATGACCTACTTTAAGAGAAATCATTCTTTACTAGAGTTATAATTTCATTTTTTGGTAGGATGTTTGCATAAACTCTAGCTTATCCTGTCGTTGATTGTTTATCATTCCCTTCTAAAAATAAATATAAAACCATCAAACTAAATCTTGCTCATTTGAAACTATTACTTAAGGTATAACCCTGATTATGCATTACTTCCGCTTTGAAGAGAATTCACTTAGGCTAGAATTACTACTCAACTGCATTAAAACTGAGGATCATTGGTCCAAATACAGAAGGGTCAGCTTTTTTGTAGCAAAAAACCCTTCTTGGTTTGCTTGATTTTTGCAATAATTGGCTATGGCTGTTTTTAAACGGATGGTCTTTATACTTTAGCAAAACTACTTTAGGGATAATGCCTTAAAGATGATCAAACTTAAGTTGACCTTGACCTAAAAATAACCTTGACATTACAGGTAAAATTATTGTAATTTCAAAGTATTTGCCATATAATTTGTAACTGATGAGTGGATTGTCTTCATACTTGCTAAATAAAATTCTTTGGACTGCACATAAATAAAAAATGATATAATTGATATTGACCTCAACCTTAATTATGCCCCCACTTCAAAGAAGAGGGGGTATATTGCTTTGCATTTGTCTGTCTGTCGGTCCGTAGACCAAATGGTTTCCGAGTGATAACTAAAGAACCCTTAGGCTTAGGAACTTCAAACTTGGTATGGTGACTGGTCATGACCAGTAAATGACCCCTATTGATTTTGGAGTTAAGGGGTCAAAGGTCAAGGTCACATTGACCTTGTAAGTAAAAACGGTTGCCAATCAATAACTAAAGAATGCTTAGGCCTAGGAACTAAAACTCGGTATGGTGATTGGTCATGACCAGTAGATGACCCCTAGGTCAAGAGATCATAGGTCAAGGTCACATTGACCTTGTAGGTAAAAACTGTTTCCGATCAATCTTCAAACTTGGTGTGATAATTGGTCATGACCAGCAGATGACCCCTATTGATTTTGAGGTCAAGGGGTCAAAGGTCAAGGTCACATTGACCTTGTAGGTAAAAATGGTTTCCATTCAATAACTAAAGAAGTCTTAGGTCTAGGAACTTCAAACTTGATGTGATGATTGGTCATGACCAGTTAATTACCCCTATTAATTTTGGGGTCAAGGGTCAAAGGTCAAGGTCACATTGACCTTAAAGAAAATAAACGGTTTCCGAATTATAACTAAAGAAGGCATAGGCCCAGGAACTTCCAACTTGGTGTGATGATTGGTCATGACCAGCAGATGACCCCTATTGATTTTGGGATCAAGGTGTCAAAGGTCAAGGTCACATTGGCCTTGTAGGTAAAAATGGTTTACATTCAATAACTAAAGAAGTCTTAGGTCTAGGAACTTCAAACTTGGTGTGATGATTGGTCATGACCAGTAGATGACCCCTTTTGATTTTGGGGTCAAAGGTCAAGGTCACATTGACCTTGAAGATAAAAACGGTTTCCGATCAATAACTAAAGAACCCTTAGGCTCAGGAACTTCCAACTTGGTGTGATGATTGGTCATGCCCAGCAGATGACCCCTATTGATTATTTTGGGATCAAAGGGTCAAAGGTCAAGGCCACATTGACCTTGTAGGCAAAAACGGTTTCCGAATTATAACTAAAGAAGGCATAGGCTTAGGAACTTCAAACTTGGTATGATGATTGGTCATGATCAGCAGATGACCCTATTGATTTTGGGGTCAAAGATCAAGGTCACATTGACCTTGTAGGTAAAAACGGTTTCCATTCAATAACTAAAGAAGGCTTAGGCATAGGATCTTCAAACTTGGTATGATGATTGGTCATGACCAGCAGATGACCCGTATTGATTTTGAGATCAAGGGGTCAAAGGTCAAGGTCACATTGACCTTGTTGGTAAAAACAGTTTCCGATCAATAACTAAAGAACGCTTAGGCCAAGGAGCTTCAAACTAAGTTTGATGATTGGTCATGACCAGCAAATGACCCCTATTGATTTTAGGGTCAAGAGGTCGAAGGTCAAGGTCACATTGACCTTGTAGGTAAAAATGTTTTCCATAAAATAACTAAAGAAGGCTTAGGCATAGGAACTTCAAACTTGGTGTGATGATTGGTCATGATCAGTAGATGACCCCTATTGATTTTGGGGTCAAGGGTCAAAGGTCAAGGTCTCATTGACCTTGAAGATAAAACGGTTTCCGATCAATAAATAAAGAACCCTTAGGCCCAGGCACTTCCAACTTGGTGTGATGATTGGTCATGACCAGCAGATGACCCCTATTGATTTTTGGGTCAAGGGGTCAAAGGTCAAGGTCACATTGACCTTGTAGGTAAAAATGGTTTCCGATCAATAACTAAAGAAGGCTTAGGCTTATGAACTTCAAACTTGGTATGATGATTGGTCATGATCAGCAGATGACCCCTATTGATTTTGGGGTCAAAGGTCAAGGTCACATTGACCTTGTACGTAAAAACGGTTTCCGATCAATAACTGAAGAAGGCTTAGGCCTAGGAACTTCAAACTTGGTATGATGATTGGTCATGACCAGCAGATGACCCCTATTGATTTTTGGGGTCAAGGGGTCAAAGGTCAAGGTCACATTGACCTTTTAGGTAAAAATGGTTTCCGATCAATAACTAAATAAGGCTTAGGCTTATGAAATTCAAACTTGGTATGATGATTGGTCATGACCAGTCGATGACCCCTATTGATTTTGGTGTAAAGCGGTCAAAGGTCAAGGTCACATTGTACTTGTAGGTAAAAACGGTTTCCGAACAATAACTTAAGAAGGCTTAGGCCTAGGAACTTCAACTTGGTATGGATTGTTCATGACCAGCAGATGAACCCTATTGATTTTGGGGTCAAGGGGTCAGTGGCATATTGACCTTGTACTTAAAGATGGTTTCTGACCAATAACTCAACAACTCAAGTTGCCATGGTTGATATTTTTATATTAAACTAAAAATGCTTTTGGTATACACATTTGAAGGTCTTATGTAATATAACAACTTTGCTGTCATTAATGAGGCCTACATGATTCATAAAATTTATGCATATATTATTTGGTAAGATTTGTAATAACTTAAATTGCTGCACACAACCTATGGGGTCACAATAATTATTACTTTGTGACTAGTCATGACCAGTAGATAACCCTTATTAATTTTTTGTTCACTTGGTCAGAAGTCATGCAAAATAATCTGATCAATGACTAATTGACTGCCGATAGGGGGCATACATGTTTTACAAACATATCTTGTTTGACATTGACTCTAAAGGTCAAATGAGTGATTATTGCTTTAGTTGGCCATAACTTTGTTATTTATTTCTGGATTTGATTTATAATTGGACAAAAGAACACTTATAATAAAACTTATATGTTTTGCAATACAAATATGATCTATCAAGGTCCAATATTGAATTTAGCTTAGACTTTTAGTATCTACTACTTTTATTTAAACTTGACTGCTATGGTCAAGTCATTGAAATTGACTTTAAGTGGCATAACTTTGTTATTTATTTACAGATTTGTATCATAATTGGACAAAAGAACTCACATTATAAAACCGACATGTAATTCTGATATGACTTTGACCTTTATTTACCTTAACCGTTGAAGTCAAATTATTTAATTTTGCTTAAACTGTCCAAACTTTGTTATTTATCTATAGATTTGATTTATTCTTGGACAAAAGAACACTTATGACAAACTTAACGTGGTTATTAATTCAAACTTTGACTTTGACTTTGGCTTTAAATTTTAATTTTATAAGAACATTATGTCTTCTAGGAGAACTCTTGACTATATGTCTCTGATGTGCTTGACTTTTGAGTTTTACCTCACACCGACACAGTATAGGTCATTTGGCAACTGGTGGAGGAAGACCTCAGGTGCCCTTCCGTGCATTATTTCAGGCACAAACAGACACCTGAGTAGAACCACCGACGTTCCGTAAGCTAGCTGGATAACTTTCTCACATGAAAGAATCCAAAGTCCCTTTCGGGATTCAACCCACAGCGGTGAAGGGCAAGTGGTAAAGATAGAGTTAGAGCTGTTTGATTGGTATACTTGTACCCAGTGTCAGATGTGGATTAGATTTAATGATACAATATCGGCACGATAAAACTTCTATAAACTAATATTTAGATTAGGTTGACACTATTTTTATTTTTTGCTTCTTGGAATGTTGACAATTATTAGATCTCCATAAATCACTGCAAGTAACATAATTTGTCAACAACCTTAAGAAAAATGAAATTACCGTTTTACTTTTTACAGAGCTACAAAAAAAGCTTGTTAAATCTTACCAGAAGTATTATGTGAAGACATCACTTTCTCCTTTGAAGCAACAAGAAGATAGCATCAACGTTAAAGATGTATATGTACCTCCTGAGATAGAGGTTGTTGATGAAAATCAATCAGCAAATCTGGATAAAGGTAGGAGGAAGACGAAAGCGAAGGTAAAAGGATATCAAGACATCTTTCAAACAAACGGACAACAGAATAGGAAGATTTACATATTAGGTGATGTTGGAACAGGAAAGAGTACGTTCTGTAAAATGATGATTGAAAACTGGTGTACAGCTGTAACTAGTTCGACCGGAAGTTCAATTCGCTACGAAAATGCTTGTGACAGAATGGTTTGCAGTGACAACATAATGGGAAAAAGGTGTGACGATGATGTCAGTCAGATAGGGCCGTATGAATTTCTTTTCTTTTTACCACTGCAATATATGTCAACATTTCAGTCAGATGTCATCGTTGATATGATTAAGGAATTCACAAAAGATCTCATTTCAGATACAGATTTGATTGACAGAATATTTCAGGAAGACTCCGTTCGTTGTCTTATCATAGTTGATAGTTTGGATGAATGGAGGCCTCCTAAAAATATTGTGCGTAAACCACATGTAAGTTACGGAATACCAAACGGAGACAGGGCTAAAGACGCAACAGTCCTTACATTATCTAGACCATCAGCAAAAGGATTACATAATTTGAAAAAATCCGAAGTTGATCTCAAGTTAAAATTATTAGGTATATCTAGTAGCTCGATGGAACGATTCATTAAACGATACATTTCTGATTATGACACCTTTTTCAATGAAAAATCTTATGATAAATTCAAATCTATTTTGCTGTCAAAACAGATTGAGCATGTGGAGAAAACGCCATTGCTTTTGCAACAACTACTTTGGTTATACTGTAATGATAAAGACATTGGCAGATCAATTAGCGAAACTTACTGTCAGATTTTAAATACCATGTTTGGTTGGTCAGACCGAGGGAAGGATGAAGATGACACTGATGAATGTCAGACTTGGGAAGATTTTACAAACTTAACACTGCCCGATATGTTAAAAAGATTTCCAAGATTAGAGAACAACAAACGTATCCTATTTCTCCTAGGTCGAACTGCATTTGAAAAATGTCTCTCTGGGACATTACAAGAAACAGTTACTTGTACATACCTTAGCAAAAGAGAGTTGCGAAGATGTGATATGGTTAGGCTTACACGATTGGGTATCTTGAATGAGAGTAAGTGTTATGACCCAACGCTCGAAGACACGCAACTTGATTTCATCCATTTCTCTTATCTTGAGTTTTTTGTTGCATTATATGTAACGATGTGTTATTCCATGGAACAAGCCGACTCTCTTCCAGAGAAAGAGAACAATGGAAAACATACGATTGTAGATGAGTTGCTTCGTACATGTACATCAGCTTTTGACGTATTAGAGTTGTCCAATGTGATTAAAATTATTTGCGGTTTGTCCCCCTTACTTATTGGTGATATGTCGAAAAGGATTTCCTGTATTGTGAATAATGACGAACACATTACACATCTTAGGTGTGAAAGAAATTATGAGAAAGTTCGGATACAACGGCTGATGGTAGACTGTCTCAAAGAGTGTGGTTCAGCTTGTAGGACATTGATAAGTATCAGCGATCTATGCATAAGTGATCATGAACCTAGTCCGTCTCTTCAAAGGATTAACACAGATAATGTGGTTTCTCTGGCATTTGTAGGTTCACCAGAAAATAATGTAGTGGAGTACATCACACAATGCAAACATTTGCAATACTTGTATATCAGATATGTTTCCTTTAAGAGGACAGATATTTCATTAATATCAGAACAATTGTCTGTAAAACAGTTGACGCTAAGTAGGGTAGATATTGGAGATGATGTTGAAGAACATGCTACAGTTGACCTGTCTAGGCAGAACCAGCTGCAGCTACTTAAGCTTTTCTTATGTGATGATATGAGAATTTCTGGTATAAACACTGAACAACTTAAACAAGTTCACATTGTTGAAGACTGTCCTGGTATAATTAATTATGAGTTTTTATCAAATGCCCGGCAACTTACAGAGCTTTGCATTGAAAGATATGTTGCTGATTTTGTATCACAGGGTCAACGTTATAAGATTGACTTGTCTCAACAGACACATCTCCAAACACTTAAGGTGATAAAATGTCCTGATATATTAA